GTTGCTGCTTTTGCTGCTTTTTCTGCTGCTCTGTGGCAAACAGCAAACTGTAAACTGTAAACAACGAGACGGCAGGCAGCCACTTCTGTAAAATGCACTTTTTTCCTCAATATTGATTCAACTTCTGCCTTTTTTTTGTGTTTCGTCCCTCGGTGCTGCTGCTTTTTTCTGTTGCAGCCACACACGTATTTATAGGCATTGGATGGCTTTTCTGAGTACATTTACAAAAAAAAAAGAAATCGGCTTTTATTTTAAAATTGCTATTGCATTAAGACAGCTTGAGCTAAAACGATATTGAATATTTGATTTTAATTTTAGTAAAAGCTTTTTCTTACAGAAGGAAATGGAATTAGAGAAAACTGTTAACTTTTGTTTGTAATTTAATGGGAATATTCATTTAACATAAATATTAAATTGATTTTATAAGAATGAAGACGATTGGGCGTGTTTCAAAAATTCATAGAGGTTTTAATTCACTTATAATGGTGTGTAAAAGTATGCTACAATTCTTAACGTCTAATATTTATTTGAAAAAATCAAAAAATAGTTCACAAGCTAAATTGCTTACAGTTTTGTGATCTCCAAACTTTATTTTAAAAAAGAAAATTCTTTAAAAATTAATAGTTAATATTATTATATAAACTCATAAATTCAAAGCCAGATTTCTTGTAGTGCAGCTTTTTTCTGGTCTGCCTGCGACTGGGATTGCCTTGACAATATGATATGTATTTCTGCAGCAAGTTTAAGCCGTGCCCGTGCCCTCACCCCCGTCCCCCCTCTCCTCTGCCAATACCCCTTACCCCTTATTAATTATGCAACCTGGGACTGCGGCACAAGACGCAAGAAGACAAGAGCCAATCGATCAATCAGTTGGCTGAGTTGGCTGCCACACACAGAAGCGTTTGGTAATTCAACGCAACGAAGCCGCAAAAATGTTGACAGCAGTTTTGTTATTGCTTCTGTTATTTTTTTGTTGCATTTTTTTTAGTGTAATTGTTATTGTCCCTGGAAGCGTTTTAGTTACACAAAACTCCCAGCTGTTTTTGCTTACCTACCAACAATAATTAGTTAAAGTTTCTTGGGCCGGTGTAAGAAATCTTTTTTTTTTGCCAAAAGCTGTTTGCAAATCGGTTTTTCGCATATAACCCATAAGGCAACGTGCCAAGCGACTTGGTTTATTTATTTTTCTGGTTTGGATTTGGATTTTGGCATGCAACCCATTCAATATATGTTGGAGAATCCCACGCTGGCATTTTGCCTTGCAAGATTTTTATTTTCAATTTGTTTATGACCAGATTTAGCCATTGCGTAAATGCATTCAGAAATATAATATTTTCGGGTGAGCACAGAACATTTTTGATCCGTTTTCCATAAAACGAAACCATACAAAGTTTATTGTGTACATTCAACTCTCGGCCATTGTCATTTTTAAATGCAATTTTTGGTCTTGTTATTTTTAAATATATCATATCGTATCGTTTCGTATCTGAACGTGTTGGCAAAACAAAAACCAAAGCGAATATTTGCTTTCAATTATTTCTGTTTTTTCCGGAAAGGAAATCGGGTAGCAGCGATAAGTCTTGTGTTTACCTTTTGAGTTCAATCTTCTTTTGATACACAATCTTTGTTTTACAGCCAGCGGAAAAAACGCATTTAATTTTCCCATAAATTCAATATTTGCTTGCTTATGTCAAACATTTTTCTTCGATTGTAACAAATACTTCCGATTCAGTGAACTATATATCTTCGATTTATGCCTCTTGACATTTGTGATTCTGTGAAAATAGCTAAACACGTGCGCAATTCCTCCCACTAGATTTGTTTGTCTTTATACGGTTTGCTATACTATTTGCCAATTATAATGTATTCTTTGCACTTGACTTGGCCCAGAAAAGATTCTCAGGTAGTAAAAAATAAACAGAGGCGACTAAAAAATCCCATGCGATTTTTTTTTCTTCAAAAGAATTGAGATAGAAATTTATTTAAACGAAAAAAAGAAAATAAACAAAAATACTTTTCAATCAATTAAGAGAACCAAAAAACAGACAGAGGTTGAGGGGAATGGCGCCTGGCAACATATTGCTTGCTATTGCTCTTTTTAATTGAGCGTGGGATGTTCTGACCTGAAAGAGGGGCAACGGCAACAGGGGGTTAAACAAGCCCTTTAGCCGCTGATTGGAATTAGCAAGAGGGTCCCATTGGGAGTGGAAGGGTTCAGGGGCATGCGTGTTGGCGGTTTATAAAGTTTAAACTATGACAAATGCTCGCCCACACTCGTCTGCTCTTTTTTCGCTGTTAATTGAATTACAAATATTTGTGTGCTATTTTTTTCGCTTAAAAAAATATTGTCACGCGTAAACGAAGATTCTTAATTGTGAATTGTTTAAAATGAGCTTTTTATTGCCCTATGACATTTGGATTAATGTTTAATGCTTAACAATATTTTATATCAATTTAGATTATAATTTTTTTTTTTTTTGGTTTTGAATATAAAATCCAGTAGTCTTGAGAAATTTTTAACAAGGATCATATGGCTATAATAGAAATAAATTACTTAAATTCCAATAATACTTCTCTTTAATATTGCAATATCCCTAAATAAATAACATTCACTGTTTCTATTGATTCAATTTAAATAAATAGGGGAGAGTGGGGGAATTTCGTCAGCATTTTTTCAAAGCTATTTTTTGTCCATCTTGAGACACGTTATCATATTTCTATTTTTATTGTTGAATGCGGTTAGCACCAAGCTTTAAAATGTGACATTCCCCTATTTTTTTAATTAGCTTGGTGATTTATAAAAAAATAAAATGTAAAACCAATATACTGGGGCAATCTCACCACACAGGGGGGTAAAATCACCACACAACTGGGGAAATTTCGTCACCTGAAAAATGTAGGGAGTTTAACGCCTGAAAATATGCTACACTGATCAAGCGTACCATTTTTGTTGACGTCCTATATTTGTTGCTGCTGCTGGTAGTCTGTTCGTTAGCCAGCTCGTCAAATATAAAAATATGTATTTAAAATAGGTGCGAATTTACCCTTAGCGTAGGGTGGCGAAATTTCCCCAGACCGTACTTTTTTAGAAATTATTATTTTTCTTGCGAAATTAGGCGCGAAGTTAAAAATCACTGACGCAGAAATGCACATTATAGCACTGTGTATTATATAAAAAATTGTGTATCTTATTCCTTTTGAATTGTGGCATACAGAAAAAATTTCGTCGAGAACTAAATGTAGCTTTTGAAGTGTTAAAACACATTTAATATTATATCTTAATTATCTTGGCCTTCTGTGCAAAACAAATGCATTGGTTGTGTCTGGCCGTCTTGAAGGACTAAAACAAATAAATTATATATTTTTACGACTTATGGATTCCGAGATATTGCAGGTGACGAAATTGCCCCTGTGACGAAATTCCCCCACTCTCCCCTACTTAATAGTTTATTTTGTATCATAGCAAATTACTATTTTTCTTGTGTTTACTTAATTGCAAGCCATGTTTTTTCTACCACAAACCACTCTATATTTTTTCTTTGCCTTTTTTCTGATCTACAAATTGACTTTTGCTTTGTGGCTGTTTGCTCTCATCGTCTGATAAGATATGCGGCTGCGGCTTCATTACTATTTGCCCTCCCGAGATGTGCTAACTGTTTCAATATTTGAATTTCACTGGGCATTCGTAATTGCTGGGCAAATAAGAAGAGATCCCCAAAGATCACTCCCCACTCTCTCTTATTTGCCTGTTAATTGTATTTGTATAATTTTTTTTCCTGCCTGTCATAATAAATTAGATACAACAAAAAATTCGCTGAGCTCTTACATTTGTTCAACATTTGGGTTGTATTTTATTTCTGCACATTTGTGAAATTCCATTTCGGCTTTTGGCATTTGAAATGTGCGCAGCAGCTGTCAAATAAATTGTTTATATCATAAAATAATAAGTTGCATTACTTTCTGTAACGAAATTCGCGTATTTTTCGTTTGAGATGTTTTCTCCCCAAAAGAAATATAAGATTAATTAGGCCCTCGTGTCCTTCCTTATTTTCTACCCCCTCTTTTTCTTTACAGAGAGCATAACTAATCGCTTATGCCTTGGCAGTTGTCAAATGAGATTTGCATTTACATTTTACAGTCACTGCCAAAAGTACGGAGACCACAAAAACTGCACTCATTGCCAGAGCAGAGATGCTTGGCTATAAAAAGCAGGCAACCCTCACCTCACCTTGACATGGTTGTAGGTGTTCTCAGTGGGTGGGGTTGGGCGGTCCAAGATGAGGGGGCGTTTTGGGTTGGCCGTGTAGAGCATGCAATATATTAATCCGAGTGCTCAGGTGCAATTTAATTGCTGCCAAGATTTGCTTTTTTTACGCGCCAAGTGCGGTGCCGGGAAAAGTGAATTAGAAAAGCAAACACACGGGTGGGAACGAGAAGAGAATTGAGCACTGGGGAAAATAATCTGTGAAATGGAAAAGTAGAATTTAGAAATATGGAATTATTTTTTAGGGTTTAAATTATTCTATAAGTTTAAGTCTCTTCAAATCGATTTATTTTTATTGACAATATACTGTTAAATAAGTTTATTTAAAATGCTACGGAGATCTTAAGTGTGATGATATCGATAAAAAATGTGCTTTAAAGTATGCAACATATATTTTCGGAAGTTTAACTGTGAAAGACAACCTTTTCTTTTTACAGCATATTTTTAGACACCTTTATAAGTGATTTGTTAAAAAAAAGAATATAACGATTTATTCGTTATGATAAAAGTACAACAATTCTTTTTGTTACATTTTCTTAAAAATAAATTCAAGTAAATTTTACACAATTTATTTATTTTTTCTTTTATTTTATGTTTTTTGTCCAGTGTAATAATCCCCAGTTGGGGGACATCTTGGTGCATTAAACGGAAATGCCATTTGGGGAAACGAGTTAACATTACTTTTCATTAAGCCCACTCTCACTTATGGTTCTTTTTCCCTCTTTCTCGTTTGCAGAAACCATTGCGGCCTCAAGTGACTTATCCACAGCACCTGCCACTGCCAAAACTAGCTGCCAGCCACCTGAGCCACAGAAGTCGCAACAGAAGACCACCACCAAGGATTCGTCTGATTCCAGTTCGCAAAAGTCATCCAGCGGATATCGTGGTCATCATCCGCACTTCCATCATCACACCACGCCCGCCTACTACACGGATCTCCAGCTGAGGATCCACACGCCGAATGCATCGGATGTGGGTGCCTTGAATGAGAATTATCGCAGTGTTTACAGTACTCCCAGTACGCAGCTAGTGGAACAGCGCTCCTTTCCCAAGAGCTCCTCGGCCACCAAGGATCCACCTTTGTCTTCTATCAGCAATCCTGCGAGGTCAACTTTTTTTCGTGGAGACTCTGCGTCCAGCGACAGTCACACAAGACTCCAGCGTCGCAGTCAGCAGAGATACGGCAGCGAACCGGGACGCTTCAACAGATACTCTCAGGGATCTGCGAGCCCTACCAAAGGTGAACTTGAATCTGGCCAGGAGCCAGTCCTCTCCAGTCACCACTCCCCCATCAACACATCCACCAATAGCACTAGCAATACCACAACCATTAGTAGTTGTAATCCCGTAGAGCCAGAACCCAGTAGCCTAGCTAATCCCAGTGGCGCCACATCTGGTCGCAACAGCCGGCACAAGCAGCGTTTCCACAGCAGCCGATCCCGTCGAGCGGTGCGCGTGCGCAGTGAATCGCGTCCTATCAGCGCCCTCTACGACATAATATGCAAGGAGAAGAACCTGGACAACAGCAGCAGCAGCAGCAGCAACGAGGAAAGGGAGAAGGATCTGGAGAAGAGGAGTCCTCAGAAGACGTCGACTGATCAGGAGAAGTCGCCCACAACCGACAAGCTGGCGACCTTTTGGCCCCTGCACCATCACTACCTCAATCCCCCGATGAGCAGCGGCAACTCGGGCGGCCCATCCAAGAAGCAGCAGCAGCAGCAGGAGAAGCCAGGTCACCATTTGCTCCAAGGAGCATCCAAGGATTTGCCCGCCGGCAGCAGCAACAGCAGCAGCGATGATGAGCGGGCACTGCACTCCAGTCGCAAGGTTACCAATCTGAAGGCCACTTCGCTGCCGCCGGAGGAGGGGTTGCCCTCTGAGATTAGCCTTTCTTGCTCCTCCTCCAATCGACTGAATCTCCGTTTGGCCAGGAGTTTGGAGCCATCAGCTCGCAATATCCAAGCGACGGCTTCCCGGGAAGTTCAGAACTATGATGCCGGGGAGCCAGTAAATACGGATAGATTGTTTGTAGAACCTCCGAAGGTATCGCTTTCCGCCATTAGGAACACCCTATACGATCATGATGATCTGGAGATTGAAGACTGCGATAGTACCACCCAATTCGATCAGGGCGATGTCCTTGATACCCTGGAACGCTGGAACCAGGAAGTCGGCAATTCCGGTTCGGGAGCTCAGCTAATGAATGGCGGAGCCAATGGCCATCATCATCATCAATCGGATCCCGAGGCAGACCATCACGATCACGAACAACCCGATCATCTCGAACAGAATGCACATCAATCATTGCCAGTAGAACCCAAGTCTCTTCATCATCATCATCATCATCAGGCCACCAATGCGCGCAGGTAAGCAGGAGTTATGGAGACCCCATCCCCGCATGAAATCCGAATCCGAAGACACCTCCCCCAAACTTCTTCACCATGCATCCCAACCCTAAATGTATCTGTGTAACTATCTGTTTCGGGAGCAATTACCCGCATAATTAGTTCCTTTTTTGCCAGTCGTTAGCCAAGTATAGGTTGTCCTGATTACATCGTCAGGTGTTGGGTGTCCAACCGAACTCACTCCCCCTTGCATGTTGTTATTCCAAGCTCCTTAATTACGCTTCGATGAACAGTGGGGGTTAAGAAAATAGGAATAATAGCAGTTAAATTGAATAATGAATTATAGTTACTAAATAAAATTTTTTTTTATTTAAATTATTTCCAATTAAATGAACATTTCGTTACAGTTTCTTGTAGAATTAAATTATATGAAAGTAAAACAATTGACAACAATTTTCACAGTTTATAAAGAAAAATTTAATATCTCGAAAAAAAAAGTTTTCTAAAATGCAATAATTTTTTATCTTAAACTTATTATTGTCTAGGGGTTTTCTTTTTATTTTTAATAAATTCTATAAGAGTATTTAGAGTTGGCATTCCAAAATAAATAATAAATATTTCCTTATGAAGTCCTAAATATTTTCCATATCTCTCCTATTTTCTTACCCTCCACTGTGATTGTGTGCGCTTTGATTGGAATTACTCGGGGGGTCATCAAGCTGATTACCGTTGAGGGTGAAAGCGTTTTGTTCTCGGAAGTTGCGGCTGATTAACCAGCAAATATGATGCGATTTTGGTTGTGTATATAATTTGTAATTCGTAGGGACAATATTAAAGCTGTGACTTACTGTGTTCAAAGTTAAACTCCATTTCTATGCAGTCTAATCCGTTTTAAGGCTGTACCGACATAATCCTTGGCGCACAATCAAAACAAATTGCATTTATTGTATGGGAGACCCATATGCTATATGCTATCTTCACCCATATTGTTCGACGTCGTGTTATACAATGCGACTTGGCGGCTCTCTTTAAGCCGGGCCCCCAAACAAATCGAGATTCACAGAGGACGGGGGGCTTGTTAACAAACGAAATCCATGTATTGTGCCCTTTTTTTTTCAACTCTCCTCTCTCTTCTTCTTCCTTCAGTCGAGTGTTACGTGGTCCATTGTTTTGAGGTTGGGATTGGAAATGGTCTTTGGTTTTTGGGATCATATCGCAGCGGCGACATCTTCGGCAATCGCATCAGTGCGTGGAGTGCAATTCGCAGCGGCAGACTTCGGGTCTTTGGTTCCATCAATTATAATGTGATATATCAAAGCGAATGTTGAATGACCCCCAACTTCGAACTTTTCCACCTCCTATAACCAAAAACCAAAATCCGGCGTAGAAAGCACCTGTTTTACAGCCAAACCCGAAACTGGCGACAAGTTTTCTTCCAATAGGCTTTCGCTACAAAAATGCCTCATAAAATAAAAAAAAAAAAAGCCGTGTAGCATAAAAGAAATGAAGAGTGGAAAACCAAGAGCCAAAGAGACAATTTTCTAAAAATGCATTCAATGTAGAATCTCTAGTCTCGATGAGAAAAAAATTTGAATGCCCAGCAATTAAGTGTGGAATTTATCTGGGGCCCCGTTTTTTTAGTTTGGTCGTTTTGTGGTGTCAACACCGTCATCCGATCACCTGCTGCGTCTGCTTGGTTGGCCATTTAATGGCTAATAGCCAGTTAGCCTGGCCCAGATCGTCAATGGTCTAGTCCTGGTTTCGCTTTCATCGCAGCTGCGATGCTAGACACCAAAAAAACACTATAACAAAAAAAGGAAACACCAAAAACGAAACAGCATCCACAAAACTGGTTATTATCACTTTTCCTTTTTGGCCTCCGACGGTTTTTCCAACGGGTTGGAAAGTTCTCGGCACATCCCCAGTAGCAAAAACGTCATATGTGTCGCTAGCAATTTATACAATTTATGGAAATTTCCATTTGACGGATGGGCAAAGTCAAGAATCAAGAATATAAAAAACTGAGTGTCAGGCAGATGGTGATCGTAATAATGATTAAAGCAGAGAGAGATTCAAGGCACGGGGAATACCCTTGAAATAGTGATTCCAAGAAGTCCAACCCAAAAGTTGATTGCTGAAATTAAAGTAGAAAACAATTAAATTCAACCCAGTTTTTATTTTCTGTGAATTGCAATAATTTATTTCTTTGAAATTATTTTATTAATTTTTTTTACTTAATAAAAAACTATTTATCTACTATTTTACTTATTTTTATTAAGTAGTAGGTCATTTATTTATTTGAATAATAATAATAATGCATCTCTTTCCTAACTTTTCTTTAAATATTCAAAAATATAATTCATTTCTTTTGCTATTGTTAAATAAATAATTCTTTAAATAAATTGAGTTATATATTATTTTCAGTCATTAAGCAATACAATTTAATAATTGACTTCTAGACATCCTAAAATAATCTTTATTCTGTTGAAAATATGTCTAGTCCATAAATGCCAAATGAATCCGCTTAACTCTTAAAGTCTGTGTCTAAAAGCAAATATACAATTTCCGTTTTCCCTTTTCAATTATTTTGGGTTTTCACATCAAAATATTTTCCTAATGCCAGACATCTGATTTCCCTTTGGGTTAATCCCTTAACCTACTTTCCGCTGACTAAAATATCACTCCCCCGGGATTTTTGTCCCATATTGACCATCGATATGATCTTGGCCTACCTCCTCTACAAGGACGGACTGTAGATATTGTGTCTACTAGCATGTCTGCATGACTGCCTGGCACGAGACATCATAAAGTACACAAAGCGAAAAGAAGTGACATTGATGCGTCGCGACATTTAAATGTGCAGCGACTGTCTGTCTACCTGGGAAAATAAAACAGAACAAAAAAAGTAACCCACAAATAGAAAAACTGGACAGCAAGTAGACAAAGTCTTGCGCTTGATTGAATGTCTGCGATCTGCGGACGACAAGCTGCAAAATTCTTCACTCGCTCGCTAAACAGAAAATATGCGTACACTGAAAAAAAAATTAAAAATCCATAGATATAATATTCACTTTCATTAAGAAATTATATAATTTAATAATTTAAATAGTTAATTAAGCTTACAGCTTTCATTTTAATATGAAATTCTTTTTTTATTTCATTAAATATTTATAGTAAATATGACGATATTATTTTCTGCCTTGATTTAATATTTTAAAATTAAATCATTCAAAAATAAAATGGTTTTAGTTTGCAGCTATTTATTTCAGTGTATGCATATCTGAGCCAAATATGCATTGTCAGCGATGAGGAAGTGTAGTGTATATCATTTACATTGCAGACTTTGTTCAGATAGATTTACTTTGCTTGAGATACTTTTAGCTACCTGCGCATAGAGAAGTGCCAGCCTGCCTTTTGCGCATGCGTGCAATAGTCACACCAATCCATAACAATAACAGACTTGTTACGCTTTGTTCTTTGACGGTCGGCAGAGAGATAATGCTGCTACAGATATATATATATATATATATCTTGTATCTGACAAATACCGCTGCTACCTGGCGCAAATGTGCGAATTTTGCGGCGCGCTCTCTTTTGAGTGATTTTCGGAGTGAGTTTTTTTTGCTGTTTTGCTGCGGTGCTATGCTGTGTATCTGCAAGATACCAAAGCGGCAAAACCCAAAAAAAAAAAAACAAAAACAAATAACTGAGGGGGAATGAAAAAAAGCCGCTCTGTGGGTTTCCACTGTGTTTGCTGGGCGAGCCGGCGGCAGTTGCCGAGCGTGTTTGCTGCCGTCTAGCCGTGCCGCATTTAGCGGAACTCCGAACTCTCGAAAATATCTCGAAATTGTATCTTTGTATCTCGTCGCATATCTCGTTTTGAAGCTAGACAACTATTTTGTTTTGGTGTTCTGATCATCGCGTGTTCATTTCCGTGTAACTAAATTAATTTATAAACTGTATACAATGTGAAGATAAATATAATATAATTAAGAGTTAAAACCATAAACGCCTTCGCAGATTCATAACGCGCACCACGCGTTCCGCCAGTCGCCAAAGTTCCGCCGGACATTCGCCTCCACCACCGCTCCATCGCAGTGACGACTCCTCCAGCAGTTCACCCACCCATTCTCCAGCCACCCGTAGAAGGAATAAATTAGGAGGTGGTGCTAACGATCCACCATCCTCCTCCGCGAATGGAAATAGCTCCGCTTATGAAACGGCAGCCACGACTGTGATGACCCATGACCACCACCACCAGCAGCAGCAGCCACGACATCCTCCAGTTGAAGTTCCTAAGGCTCTAGTAGCCATCGATCCGCAGCCAGAAGCAGCCATCAGCGTCCTGGGTTCGTGTCCCACTGCAGCTGTTAATTCAGGTGAGTTTTTTTTAATCTCTATGTTTTCTTGTTGCTTGTGTGCCGTCTCTGTGTTGCCTGTTTGTGTGTTTCCAGTTACAGTTTGTCCTTGAGATCTCGTTTTGTAATGTCCTAAGCCGCTTGCTTACTCAACCTTCTCTTGCCAAACTGCAGCTTCTCATTCTAAGGTCCTCAGAAAACTCCATCTTTATTACCCTTGGGAACTTTTTCCCAAAACTCCTTTTCGAGAGTACTTCATGCATCCTGATAAAAAATTGTATTGTATAGGAGAGAAACCCTTTTCTTATGTCTTACCCAATTTTTAGAACTCTTTAGACATCATGGTCTTGGAATTTTAATATCATGTTACTGATGTTCATTTATTTATCCCAAGATCAATGGATTATCCGTTTTACAGAAGTCTTTTATTTATCATTTATTCAAAATAGAATATCATATGATCCTCTATTTCCTGCCCAATTATTTTTTGGGGCAGTTAAGTTCAATTACATAGTTCAGTAGATCATTAAATTATCCCACGCTTTGGATCTACTTCTATTATAAAGCTATTATAAACCTTTCAACATGTATTTTCCTTCATATGCGATCATGTTATATCTTTTTTGACTAATGATCCATTTTTTATACATCCAAATAATTATTTTATCCTGTAAAACAACCCTTCTTTAAAAATCTTGTATTGATTTTAGATTTATCCCCTAGTCAAAAAGATCTTTAAATATCTTTAGGAACCAATTACTTTTCCCTTTCTGCTATTTCTCTTGATCGTTTTCTGATCTCACACTGTTATTTACCTTTGCTTTTCCCCTCTGATTTGCGAACATTACAAATTCATTAATTCTTGGTCGAAACTTTCCCAAACACCAAAGTTCGGTAATTAGACCGCCCCATACCGATTTTTAGCCCTGAACCGTTTTAAGCCTGTCAACTGCCTGTTTTTTTCGGTTTTCTGCAAATTAGCCGAGAAATCAAACCAAAACTCCATCATCGGGAGAGGCGAGTCGTAGTTTCTTCGTTTCTTTCTTGCACACTTAAAAGCAATTTAAACTAAATTAGATTTTTGTCGGCTTGCCAATCAAGCGAAAATGTTTTCTAGACAAATGTTAATTTGGCTCATGAGAGACCTTCGGTCGCAAAAACATTTAAATCAAATTGCAATTGAGCAACGCTATTCCGAATCAATTCCAAAATGTTTTGACTGGTAAGGTTTTTTATTTTATGGGATGTCAGAAAAGTCTAAACAGCCCGAATTATATAAGATAATTTGCGCAATTTTAATTCGCATTATGATTCAGTGTTTCTCAAGTTTTTTTTTGCAAAACTCCCTTGTGTATAAATGAATAAAATTGTTTGTCATTTAATAAAATCGAGATGCCGCGATGTCCAGACTTCACGCAACTTAGGCAAATGAAAGATGCCATAAAATTGCTAATAGATCCCCGACTTCGAAGAGCTGTGCCCAATTTTTTTTGTATTTTATTTTTTACTTATCAATGAATGGATCGGAATCGGGTTTATTATCAATGGCTGCTTGGACAAGGGTTTCATAAAAAATTTTGACAGTCTCCTCTGTGTATTTCTCTCTTATAACGGTTTTTTTCGGGGGGCTCTTGAGAAAGTCTCCCCAAAGATCGTTGACATAGATCTGCATATCACATGGTTCCGTTTTATCGGAAAGATTTAGTAAGCATTTGTGGCCACACAGAACGCGCAGCTGCCAAAAAACCAATAAACAACTATGATATGATGATGATCGATCAACCATATCGATTTCGTTTCAATTGTTTTCCGTCTTTGTTTTCCCACTGCAGCGTATTGATTTCAATATTTACCAATTTGGCAATTTCTTGATTCACTTTATGTGAAATTAATTTGATTTTTGTATTCGCTTCGGCTGTCTAGAGAGGGCCAACGATCGCCCCGGAAAGTTTAGAGCGTTCACTGATCTTTTGACAGACGAACAGCAACAGAAGGCAATGAACGGGCGGTTCCCGGAGATGCTGGCAGATGATTTGCCGAAAAATGTTTTATTTTTCGCCCATTTCTTTCGCCCTGTCTTCTGCGGGGATTATGAAATCTCTTTGGTTTTTACATAAGCCACCACTTTAGGGGGCAAAACCAAAGGTTGCGATGGATTACAGTGAGCTGTTTTCGTTTCAGAAGAATATTTTGGGATTGCCTAAGAAATTTATTATACCATTTTTAGAAAGTTCTTATATGAGTTCTTAATGGATGTTTTTATAAAATTGATTTAGGATAGAAATATAAAGATATAAAAAGATAGATATTTATTTATCTATTTTTAGGAAGTCTGCTAGAGAAACTTTTAAGATCCCCCAAAAAATTATTATAAATTAGCTTGCCAAAAATATTTATTAAATATATTTATAGCTACAATATCTATATTTACCAAAAATATTGTAAATTTGATAGTATTGATCAGCTACATTTTCCCACACTCACCTCTTCAGCGAGTCATAAATTCTGGTTTATTTGTGAGCGAAATCTAATCGTTGTACGATAATCTAATCGCTGCTTTGTCAGTGTTTAATGTCCAATAATGTTGACAAAGTTAATACATCATCGTTAAAGAGAGACCTAATGACCTGTGAGATCGTCGAGGCTCGTCGAAAACTTTCGTTTTGGGCTTAATGTTTTTCTTTTGTCACAAATATAAAAAACAACGACTTTCGCAACTATTTCGTGTTTGTCACCTCACCAATCAATCTTTGCCAGCTAGCCATTTAGATTGGAGCTGCGTTTTTCTCCCAGGCCCCCCCTTTATTTGCATTATGCAATCCCAAACCATTCACGCACACACCAAAAACAACAACAGCCACAGCAGCAGCAGCAACCACAACAAGCAGCAATCATAAGCTTTAATGTCTTACTAAAACAACAAAATCCACGCATTTTACCCTCTTAAAAAATACAAAAACTAAATACAAAACAACAGCCAGCCAAAGTCGAGGAAAAGCTGGCAAATGCAGTATTAATTGCACCTACAGCCACAGCAGCAGCAGCAACAACAACTGCAACGCGAGGCAACGCAACAGCAGCAGCAACAACAATAATACTAAACAACAGCAACACGCCACGCCCATGCCGCCCCTAGCTAATGCCAACAAAGCGCCGTTAATTGTGCTTAAGACACCCGCCACATCTGCAGCAGCAGCAGCAACATCCATCGCAGTTGCAACAACAGCAGCAACATCCATCGGCACGGCAGCAACATCTGCTGCTGGTTCGCCCATTAAGCGTCGCAAGAATCCCCTATCGCCACTGCGTCTCGGTCACCAGTCCACCATTGCTCCTCCGCAGGCCATTGCCAGTCCGCTGCTCAGCGGCGGCAGCTGCTCCTCCTCGACCACCTCGCCCCAATCCTCGCCAGCTGTTCGCACCACCAAGGCGAGTCGCCTGCGCGCCGCCGCGCTTGGTGAGTCTCTCCTACTTTCCATTCCCCTCTGATCTCTCATCTGTCATCTACTTTATCCCTGCATCGGGTGGAGGTCATCAGGTTTTCCATCTTTCCGAATCCATAACCCCGTTGTCTATAACCTCTGTAGTTTGTTTTTGTGCCTTTATGTTGAGTAGTTTGATACACAGAAAAAATTGGGAAAAAAACCTCAACTTTCTTTACTTTTTAATTAAAAGTATTTGTAATTTTTAAACATATGAAAAAAAATTTTAATTATTTTTTTTTTAATATTATTTTTACACATTTTCTATAAAGAACCATACGTTTTACAAATGCTTTCTGTGTCTAATCTCGAATTTCATGAAACTTTTTTAACGTATAGCATTCTATGGAGTTTTATAAATTTTTATATTATTATTAAATTACTTTTTATTATATTAATTTTAATAAAAAAATAAATTTTTATTAATTTTCGTGTAACTAAAAATTATAAATGGTTTGGGCTAAAAAATATTTAAACAAATGCCTAAACTATTGCAAATTATTTTTTTTATCAAGACTTAAGAATCTTTTAAAAGTCTTTAAAAAAATCTTTTTTCTCTGTGTAACCACACCCGCATTTTTCATCATCCTCAATATCGTGTGCGTTTTCCCTTTTTTACGAATCCAACCCGCAGATAAAAAGAAGGAAGAGGAGCAGCGCCAGCGTTACACTTCGCCAGTTTCCCCAAGAATCCCCTCCAGCAACGGAGGAGGACCTGTAGCCCAACGTCGTCTCAGCAGCTCGGAGCTATCGCCCAAGTCGCCAGGTGCTGCTAGTGGATTTAACTCGGAGCCAGCTCCATCTTCAGGTAGTAGAATCCCGTCGAGATCTGCCTCCCAACCGGTGGACACACCGCCCACCCAAAGAAGGCAGCCTCTGGTGGCCGTCAGTTCGGGAATCTCCATGAAGCAGAGTCTCAGCGAATTGCACTTTACGGGCGGAGCTGTGAGTCCGCCCAAGGCAACGGCGGAATGCACTCTTCGGATGCGACCACGTAGCTCCACCATGAGCACCGAGAACACGGAGAACGGACGACGTGACCACTTGGCCAATCTGCAACTGAGTCCCGTGCAAAAGCACAAGAGAACGGTGAGTTTTATCCGGCTCGAAGGACCAGTTTAGTCAATTTAATTAATATTACATTTTATTCTTTAGCCCGAAGTTTCACCACGTCGTTTGGGAGATCGCGACAAGTCGGCTAAACGGAAATCGAATCTGAATCGTTCGTTGACCGAGGAAGCCACCAAGGATGGCGGTAAGTTGGCCACAACGACTGGATGCAGTGCAGCAAAACGACTTAAAAGGAAGATAATCAGCATGGCACCAAATTGGGAACGCCTTCAAGCTTCAATAGGCATATCGAATGAGGCTGCAACAGAAATGAGAAAAGAATCATTTGATCTTCAATCGCCATGTGGCTGCCAACGTCTCAAAATAATTCCCATTTTAAATATCATTTTCAACACTTACATTTACATCACTTTGTGCTTCTCCAAGAAAGCTTTTCCATTGAAAAAACTTGTGTAAAATATGTTAAAATCCAAGCTGTGCCAAGTCCTCAATTAATGTTATGCATGTATAATGTCCAAAGGCTGCCTTTTTTAGCTCTTAAAATCTAAAGAATAGTTACTAATTTTATAATTTGCCCTTACAGATGAGGTAGCCACTTCAACGCGCCGTCGACGACGTCGTGAACTGGGAATGGCTCGACCTTTGGTGCCCGGGGATGATGAAGCTCTGAGGGATTTGCTCCAAACACCGCAGAAAAGTTCCTGCAGCGAGTCTACGAACTCAATTTCCGAGCCCTACCGTCAGTTTATACCTGCTGTTCGCCATCCGGAGGTTCCTGTGCGCACGATGACTGCTGTTTTGCCTGCTCCAAGACCTCTGCATGCTCCAGTGGCCAGGAGTGTCACCCAGAAATTTAATGAAAGGACCAAGACCGAGCTGGCGGAGATTAAGAAGATTGCCGAGCAATCGGAACCGCAGCCCCCAGCGGTGGATGAAAGCCAGAAAATGGCGGCCATAGCGAGGAGGAAGAGCACGGATGAGGGAGGAGGATTACCCAACCAGAATTCACCACCTGCTCCGAATCAAATTGTATCAATACTAAAGAAGAAGGAGCACGGACTGGGCGATTGCAACTCGAGTGCCTCGAGCAATCCTTCGCCGGTGACCTTCTCCTCGAGCGTTATGGATAATCCACTGGCGGGCGCCAGTCGCTGCAAAAGGCAGGGAATCCTGAAGAAGAGATCGAGCCTGGATGAATCACGCTACTATTCGCGTTCCCATTCACCCGACGAACGGAGTATTCTCATCAAGTCGGCGAGGAGGAATTCCCTGGAGGAAGCGGGCACTGGATTGAGTCCAGCTCAGGCCCATGGAATCTTGAAGCAGAGCAGCTACGACAGCAGCAAGAGTGATGGTTGCCCCTCGGCCAACGAGAGTCAACCGCATAGCATCCTGAAGAAGAAGGACTCGCTATCCACACCCTCGGATGGGGGATGCCACAAGCATGTTTCCATTTCCCAGGCTGTAACCTTGGCTGCCGCCGAACTGGCCGCCCATGATGGCGTTACCTTTGGTGAAGACGGTGAAGAACACGATATACGACCCATCTTGAAACAGGAGAGCACCTCCAGCGAGGAGGCAGTCCGTCCCCCGAAGCCCATACTTAAAAAGAAGTCCTTTGGCGAGGCGGATGAACACGAAATACGCCCGATACTGAAGAGCTCGCGAAAGAGCAGTCGCGAGGAGTTTGATTTGAGTGGTTTGGAGAGCAACGAGGTCAACGATTCCCTATCCTCAATCCTCAAGTCGGATTCGCCTTCCAAGCGTCGATCGCTGGGCTCTGCTTCCCATGATTTAGAGGAAACCAGCACTTCGCCCAGTTTGCTAAAGAGGCGAACCCGTTCGCTGGAAAGGAGGGACGTCCAGCCTGGCATGGATTTGGCAGCCGCACTGGATGCTATTGCCAATTCGCAGGTTGCCCCTAGTACTCCCGTGGATTTTGTGACCACTCCATCGAGTATTTCGGTGGCCGAGCGGATTAAGCGCATGGAGATGCTCTCGACGCCCACTTCCCGTGCGGCGGGTGGAGCCAACAGCAGCTGGGAGTCACCGCTGCAGGCTTCGACATCGGAGCAGGCAGGAGGAGGAGCTGCTGCCACGCCAAGGGTACTCAAGCCCAGTGTCCTGCGCAGGGATTTGCAGAGAGAGCGGTACAAAACGCAACCCGTGACCAACGAGGAGATGAGCTTGTAAGTAAATAATAGCTTTACTATATATTTTCCTAAAATGTAGGGGTATTTTGAAGGAATTTAATTGGTTTAAAAATTTAATTTAATTATCTAAAAATGATTAGGATTTTATTTCTGCTTAAGTATTTAAAATAATATTCCATTAAATTAATATGAACGATTAAATGTAATTTAAATGAATTCCCTTTCGAAAATGAATAAATAAAAAGGTATCATAGATCAAATCTGAATTAATATAAGCCTTTAAGTTTAGGAAATGTAGAAATCAGACTATTATATTTAGGTAATGCACTAAGAGGATCTTTAAACTAAACTATACTTATTTATCAAAGCAAAAAATTTATAGATATTTAAATTCCCCATAATATCAAAACTCCCAAAAGTACAAAACCTATAAATATCCTTATTTCTGGGCAGTATTTTTTCGAGAATTCCCGTTCAAATTGCCACATTCTCTCCCTCACAAATTGCGCATACGTCGTGTGGCCTGTCAAGCTGTCAACTGATTCTGCAGCGGACGCCAGTTTACGCTTCGATGGTCCCAAGAATTCCAGCCCCCGAATCCGAATTCGTATCTCCGTATCTGTGTGTTTTGCATGGAGCAATATTTGTCTATATACCCGCGTACATTCATTGCTATTTTTGGTCCGCCGAGCACATTTCTGGCTGGCACTTGGCCGAGCCTATAAATATTTATACCATCATGGTGATGGTGGTGCCCACAACAGACAGACTCACTGTCAACTGGAAAATGTTACAGTTGTTAGTCCATAGAAATTATAATCCAGTCATGATCGGCTTAATTAACTTTATTGTGGACATACTTCGCTAACCACGCAGCCATAAATTAGCTGGATTCTGATGATGAAAATTTCATCACAGAGGATATTTTGGCAATATTTAAATTGCTTTTCCATTGCTCCGCATCCAAATGTCAACAAATTCTGTTTCTGTTTCCCAAAAAGCCAATGAAATCCTCCAATGACTATTTGCTGACCTCAATTCGATTCGCTGTCATATAATTCACTTTTCTTTGCCGCCTTTTATTTTTTATTGGCCCAAGTTGATGTTGTTGCTTAGTTGTTGGTGTCACTTAAGCAGCTTATTGCTTGCCTAATTATCTGCGCAACTATTGAGGCCAACAAGAACACGAGAGTGCGCGAAATACAAATAAAGGTTAGTAATGGTCGGGCGATTATGGAAGGTCGATTGGTTTTAACAGTAGAGGAAGAGGAGGGGATCCAGAGAAATATGTTCAAATGGGTCGGAAAGAGGCAGAAAATATTAAAAAGAATTATTTCACAGAAATAAAAATTTTGTTTGAAATTTCAATTTATAAAATACTAATTATTTTTAAAAGAAAAGGGTTATAGAAAATATTCGTTAAATAAAAAATATTTTTTAAAATATCCTTTTATAATAGCATCATTATACAAAATCTTTACATAATAATTAACTTACTATTTATTTTATTAATTTAATCTACATTTACTAAATAAATAATTTTTGATTTGCTTTTTAAAAAAGTTCTTAAAAAAATCTTATAAATTTTAATAAATATATATTCTGATCATTAAAGCCTAGAAAATAGGGTATTAACTCCTTGAAACCAGAAAGTTCGAAAAACAACGCATTGCGGATTTCATAAGATCTTAAGAACCAAGAACCGCAACCAAATCGCCTATCATCAAGTACTATCATACCATTATTCCCAAAACAATTAGTTGTTAAATAAGCTTGTTGCCCACAAATTCTCACCTGGGATGGGTAATTTCTGCGAATTGCGGATTGGCCAATGTCTCGGGGCCCGTCGTAAACCTAGTTTCTTCGCTAAAAGCATTTTAGAATTTCGACTAGAAGATAGAGAGGAGCACCTGCACCTCTTCTACTTCCACTTCCATCGCCACAAAGTTGCCAGTTCTTGTTTAACTGTGTTTTTATGTCAGCATTTTATGTGTTGTTGTGCCGGTGAGTGTTTTTCTGCTGTTATTATTTTTGTTGGGCTTGTTTTTTGGGGGCTTTTGTTCTGACACACTGGCACTCCCTTCCCAAGGCAACAAAATCAACCAACAATAACAATATAAGCCAGGTTTGTTCTCTGTAAGGCTTTTGTTTTTTTTTCACACTTTTACTGACTGTCACATTTGCATTCAGCGAACGGTGTATTGTCAATATCTTTTGCACTTTTGCCGACGCTTTGTGCCGTGAAATTTATGCTGCTCATACGTTCCACTATCCGTAGTTACATTCAGTTGCATTCGGTAGTTTGCACCAAGCGAACGCGTTCAGATACAGATACTTTTCGTATCTTTATCCAATTCCGTGTCAAAACGAGGAGGAGGATTTCCCAGTTCCATGTTATTGCTGCAGCGACGTCAGAGCGAAAAAATGTTTGAGGCGTATATCAGAAAACGGTAACAATGAAAAATTGAAAAAAAAATTGGTACTTAAAATCGATTAAAGCAAAAATCGAAAATAAAATGGGACTTAAAATCTGTCAAAAGAAAAACCGAAAAAATCGAACAATAATCGCCGGCATTGAGACAGTAAAAAAAAGTGCAAAGCAGACATGTGTTGGCCGCCGATTAAATCGATACGGCTTTCAATATATGTCCAATTCGAAGTTATGCTGTATCTTTCCTAATCTACTGATAAGATAAGTTACAGTCCAGACCACAAAGAGACTTTGCCTTTCATTTTACCATTTTACGGCTAAAAAAAGAATCGGTTTAATAGCCCAATCGTAAATATGTCAAAATACCGAACTCTGTGGAGAAATCTTTGCGCAGGTTTCCCTATGGGTGAAATAATTATTTTATGTGCCCATTGAGAAATATCTGGCGAGTCTATATGATCTATAAATAAATCATCCGTGTCACACCTCAGACGGTCCATTCACAAATACGAACTAAAAATAAAGTAAAAACAAGAGAGAACGCTATAGTCGGGTTGTTGTCCCGACTATCTAATACCCGTCACTCAGCTAAAGGGAGTGCGAACGCTGTGTCGGGTTGGTGTCCCGACTAATAATCGTAACTCAGCTGAATCGTCCGATTTGAAAAATGTCTTCTACATTTCGATAGGTATAAATATACACAACAAAATTGCATTTATACTTTTCGGAAATCTTTAAAGATGTGGGCGCAGGACCCATTTTAAAATCGGTAAAGGGCGATTGTGGGCGTTAGAGGGGGCGTGGCGCTCGGCTAAAATAAACTTGCGCTGCGTAGGAAGCCCAAGAATATGCGTGGAAAATCTCAACCTTCTAGCTTTTGTAGTTTCTGAGATCTCAGCGTTCATACAGACGGACAGACGGACAGACGGACAGACGGACATAGCTAGATCGACTCGGCTAGTGACCCTGATCAAGAATATATATACTTTATGGGGTCGGAAACGCTTCCTTCTAGCTGTTACATACTTTTGCACGAATCTAGTATACCCTTTTACTCTACGAGTAACGGGTATAATGAGTCAGGAAAAATAAAAGTACTCAATTTTATTTTTTTAAATAGGTAATAAATACAGAACAAGAGTTATAGATATGATATTTATTTTTAAATTAATATCTTAATATTTATTGTTATTTAAAAAAGTTGTATCATCATTTAAAATTTTTTTATGACAACCGCACTTGCTTTAGAATTTGCTTATTAATTTTGAAATACCTTTTCCGCCTGCTCTTTGCACTTTAAAAATTTCTCTTTCACAAAATTCAAGAGTCAAAGAAAATCCACCGCAAAAGAAAAGCCAACCAAGACATTTCCCAGCCAGACGGCGGAAAAGAAGGAAAATACCATACCAAAATAAATACAAAAGCACAGGGAATAAAACAAAAAAAAGGCAAGAAAACAAAGCTGAAAATATAATTTAAATTTGCCGACAGCGACGTCGACTGAGGCAGAGCACCACCGAACCACCAAACCACCGCACCACCACCCAAATCTCCCCACCACCACCCATTATTTTCTCTGCCGACGTTTTCTGCTCTTCTGCTCGGCGTTTTGTTTGTACAATTTTTGCGCTCAGTTGCTCGCGATCGCTTTTTCAATTTTCACGTATCCGCCAGCAGCAGCGCTATAATATTCACTATATTTTACGTAAAAAACCCAGAAAAAACAAAAACAAATATTAGAAAAATATAATTTTCTTCCTCTTAATAAATAATAAATAGTGAATAGTGTGTGAAGAGAAGAAATCGAAACTAACTGATAAATTTATCAACTAAATCGCTGCCCGGTTCGGTTCGGTCGCGATCCATCGTTCGGTCTTCGTCTTATCAGGTGTAGAAGGTGCAGAACCAGATAGTATATAGATTCCTTACCTATATGTGTGTGCATTGTGAAAGAAAAACCACGTTCCCTACGGAAATTCCTAGCCAGTTGCCGGTAGACAGGCTCCCAAACCGCGTGTGAATTGGAAAAGGTAGTTAAAATTAAATTGGGTTCTTATGAAGAAGAAAAACCTGTGAAAAAACCAGGGAAAAGTGGGATGAATATACGAAAATACTTTCTGCCAGCTCTTTAAAAATCTATACGTATTTCGTAATGTGCTAAAAATAAATTCCATGAAAACGAAAATGTGCACTTGTGCAGCCAAACGAAAATTCCAATTTTCAAGTGCTACAAATTGTGCCAAATTTGCGAAAAATATTTAAATTATATAGGTATATCGTTGGAAAAGCAATGCCAATGTCTGCATTTATTTTGTGTTTTTTGGGGCTGTGAAATATTCTTTAAAATGGCCTTTTGTGGTTTGTGTATTCGATAAGTGGGCAAAAATCGAGAAATGTTTTTTGGTTGTATATATATAGAGCGAACCCCTTTGATTAGATCACTCGAAATCTACAGTCATAAACTTTTTTATAATTCTCGCCAACTGTTGCCGCTAATCATCGTGTTTTTTGTGTTTCGAATATATATATATATTTAAAATCTAAAAAGGGAGAATTCTCACGGATTCATTTCCCCTTTTCTCTCTCCCTCAACCTAAATCCAATTAGCTCAGTTGTTGCATTTAAATTTGTTGTATATTTTTAGTTTCTTGTCTTCTTATTTTTTGTTATTTTCCGCTTCCTCTTTTTTGAACACTCGATGTGTTCGCCAGGCATGGAAAATGGGCCTGATAAACAAAACAAATATTGGAAAAACTCAAGAGTCGAACAAGTTGTAGGTGAGGGCACTAAATATAGAAGGAAAATGTTCAAGAGGCTTGTTAGAGGGTGATAAACTTGCAAGTTTATGTGAGAGAGTGGAAAAATATACACCCAAAGCTATGAGTATATATTTTCTTCTTGTTTTCTCTCTTATCAACCCATTCAATTACCTTTCACTGTTGGCGTTTTATTGCCAAAACATTTTGGCTAATTCTTTTGGCTTGTAAACTTTTACCTTCACTCCCCCTGGAGGCTACAAACGAATCAAAACCAAAAGCCTCAGCCGCCAGCGCCAAAATTTCACCACCAAAACATAATTAAGTTGGGCCAAAATTGCCTATAATTATGTCCGGGTATTGTTGTCAGTGAGAGAGAATGATAGAGATGCGATGAGGAGGGTTCACAAAGAGATTCACAGTGTATTTAAGCCCCGTTGTTATGCAAATTTGTGCGAAACAGGTGAAAACAAGAGTTTTTCTGAGCCAATGTCAAAGCAAAGTGATTTCAAAACTTAAATACAATGTAAATATATATTAGATAAACAAAGAAATATTATTTTAAAATACCTACTTAACCTTATTAGGACAAAAAACAAAGTTTTTTTTTTCAAAGTAAACCAATAACAAAAAAGGTTTACCATCAAAATAAAACCAATTTAATATCATTTGTTCACGGGTTTTGTGGTAAACTTATTTAGGTTGATTTGTTTTTTTTTTGTGAGACACAATAATTGAGTTATCATTTTAATTTTCATTGTTCCATCAGGTCAAACTAATGTTTATATTATTTTTTTAAAACGCCACAGGCAACCATAAATTTGTTGACCCATTTAGATGCTTATTTACATGTTTATCATTATTATTTATTAATATTTTTTTGTTTCCTACTTTTGCAGCTTTAAAGCCAACTCCGCGCCCTTCGACATCTCGGCCTCGTCGGCCTTCAAGCCCACCAAACCGCTGGACATTCGCTTGAGCCACGCGCCGCTGGCACCGCTGATTTCGCCGATAACAGGACAACCACTGAGTCACGTGCCTGCTCCTCTCCTGCTATCTTCATCCACGAATTCGGGAGTGGGATCCTCCTTCCGTTTGGGTCGCAGTTCCACGCAGCCACTGCAATCGCCCCGAGTTGTCCACTTGGCCAGTCAGGCGGCTCCTGGTGGATCATCTGCATCATCCTCGCTGTTGGCACGCCAAAATTCGATCAACGACACCAGCAGCGTCAATCTCAGCGAGCAGCTAACTTTATCCATTGGAACGGACAGTGAGCACATCTTCGAGATGTCCGCCTTGGAGGAGGATTCGGCCATTCAGTCGCTGAGCGATGAGACAGCCGCTTCCGCATCTGCAAGTTCAAGCTCAGCAGCCACCGCAACCACTACGACGACCACCACCACTCCACCATCAAGTGGTTTAACGCGCAGCAATAGCGTTCGAGCCAGGGCCAATATGTTCCAGCAATTGCAGGAGCAGTCGCGCAATCAACGGGCAACGGGTTAGTAAAATAGCAAAAGGTCTAGATCCCATTCACCCACCATTATCATCATCATCATCATCGTCATTCGCCGGGGATTGCAGAAAATTAGCATGAAGCAATAAAGCAGACGAGCAGCGACCGCTAAGTTCAACCGGTGGCACTGCGAACTTGGTTTAGGCTTTGGCCCATGTCGCAAACCGACCGTAACAAGAAGGCCAAGACCACATCAGTTTGGCCAGAATGGGAGCAGATTGGAGCCAGAGAGTTGGGCTAGGGCCTCAACAGTACTTTCCTATGAAACTAGCAGTACGGAAGTGCTGAGTGAGATGTATTATATCTTTAGGAAGCAACGTAGAAAATGGTTGATCAGAAAATAAGTTGAGGAATCTTTTTTATTTGTTTTGTTAATTAGCTCTTAGATTTGAAATGCACCTGTAGTTGTTAAAAAAATATATTACACAATTTTTATAATGATGAGAAAGCCATTAAATTCTAAATGAATCTCTAGATTTGTATGATAGCCAACTTGCCTTAAAAAAATCTATAAAAAATATATTACAAAATATTAAATATTACATTAACTCAAAATTTTGTTTGACAAATGTATAAAAACATTTCCAATACTTAAAGCATACATTCTGAAAAACAAACAGATTAAATTATTAGCAAGTAAAGATATTTATTTCCGTTAGTTATTAGGGATAATAAACAAACTTATGACGTAAACACCTATTAAAAAAGGGAATATTTTAGGACTTAGGGCTTTACTTAATTAAATAGTAAATCTTTTGATAAACTATAGATAACTCGTAAGCAAACACCTAAATATTTGTTTAGTAGCTTTTTAAGATCCCTTCGTAAAAACCCCGTACCTTTTGCCAATTTTAATTAGTTAAATCTGGCTGACTGCTGGTCAGTGTGTGACTCTCTATCCCCGAGTGTTTGCCAGATTTTGCCATTAGCTTTTTGCTGTAGCTGCACAAGCACAGGCAGGCCTCTCATGGTTGTTGGCCAAGTTAATAAGCTGTAAAATGTATGTCACTTGCCTCACACTCACTCTACTCACCCGCACTCTGAAAAGTCGCCGTCTCCGGCAATCAGCAACTAATTGAGGGGCTTGCGTGTTGGGTAACATTTGTGACCAGGTTCGTTTCGAAGGGGAAAAAGGGAATCCAAGGGGTATATGGTCTACAGGTCACTTGAGATTAGACTTGCGTTATCGAAAGCGTAAAAAAGTCATGTAATAATATCTAGACCACCTTTGAGTATCATGCCAAACCATTGTACTTTCTGTTTTAATTTACCCAAACACACAAAACACAACTCCTAGGGAGAAACATGAGGAACCATCAGCTAGCAAAGCCCAATTTTCATAGGAACCATGTAATAAGCATACTTAAATTAACCATTTCAGGAGCCAACCGTCAATCTCCACCAGCTGCGGCGGAAGTGTCTTCAAACCAAACCGACAATTCCATGCAAAGTGAAGAGCTGTCCACGCCAAATGCAACGATAGATGCGGAATTTGGTAAGTTACTATCATTATCTATGGGTTTCCAAAAGAGAGGAGAGCTTGATTACCTAAATCAGTTACGAAATATTCCAATAAATTCCAGCTTATCTAGTTTTCAACTCTCTTCTCTCAACCATTTTTACGTTTTTGTTTGATTTGCACGATTTGCTCATTTTGGAATGATAAAAAAAACATTTATAATTCATATACAAATATTATTGTTGTTGTTGTTGCTTACCGTCTGTGTGTTTTCTTTAATTTTACATATTTTTTTTATTCGCCTGCGACTAATTTATAATTAACTCGAACAAATTCGCAATGGCCGATAAAAATCAGTGCCAAATTCGAATGAAAGAAAGAAAATGCAGCCACGCCAAATTGCGCAATGAAAGAAATGGAAAAACTGCTGAAACAAAAACAAAATCATACACTAATTTAGTTCTCCATGCATGTGCGTTCATTGGTTTTTCATTTACGACTTTTTCACATTATTTACGCCAGTTTGAGTTTTCTAATGAATTAACTTCATGTTATTGTTGCTGTTTTTTGACTTGTTTTTATTGATATTGTTGTTGTTTTGCGCATGAGAAAACTAATAACAATTTATTCTCCACAACTGTATGTGTTTTATGTAATTTAAGACGCGCGTGATTTATTTATCCATATTTATTTATTTTGAGGTCTTTAGCGCAGTTAATTAAGCGTTCATAATTTTATGGCCTTTTACTTACAACATTTTTAACGCCCACGCGAAACGAATTTTCTTCCTTGAAAGTGATCCATAATAATAACTCCCTGACACACTCTTGGAAAATGGGTGAAGCTAATGGTGACCTTCTTTAAATTCAGTTATCAGTCTTTTTTTATGGCCCAAAGATGGGCGGGTAAAATGTTTAAGCGTGTTCTTTGTGGTTTCGCCCCGAAATAAAGGCTGTAAAATTTATTACCGATAAGGCGGAATGACGTTGACCTTGATAGACGACAGTTAAATATATAATTAGCAAGCAGATTTGTTAAACAAGTTTAAACAAAGAAATATAGACAAAGGTTACGTAGTGAAAATAAGTTTAAAATAATTGCTTTTCATTTGTATTAGGTGTTTATGAAGTAAAAATATGATAAAAACCAATTATCTCATCTTTGTAAGTTGATTTAAAGATGTAAAGTCTTTATAAATAATACCAAATTATTAAATTTTATTAGTCTGATTTCATTATAATTTTTTTTTACTTAAAAAACATTTTTTATTTTGGTCAGTTTCTTCTAAAATTCTAAATATTTTAACTAGATTTATTATAAATATTGTTCGATTTTTTCCACAACTTTAAATCAAGCTTACAAAAATTTTCCATAATTTCTTAGCGACTTGTTTATCAGTTAAACCCAAGCCCACACACAAAAAACGTCACTCGCTTACAAAGAAAGTTCATATCAATTGAAAGCGTTTTGTGTGGAAGAACCAATATCGAAAGTTACAAATGAAAATGAAAATCGAGAGATACATAACATATATGTACATATAAATATAGTGGACAAAAGCGAGCGCAAAAAAAGTGGCAAATTATAGAAATTGCTTTATAAACGGCAGACGAGACGAACTTTCTATGATTCAGTTACGCGGGGGTAAAAAATCATCATCTCTTTTGTGGTGGTCGGTCAGTTTGATAAAGGGCGGTTGGAGATGATAGCGTATGGCATATAGCGTATAGAGCGGGAAATAAGTACATCATTATCGCAGCATTTTCGAGTGTGGGCAGCGGATATAACCGAATGCGCAGCTCGTCATTCGACTCTTGTAAGTCGTCGTCAGTCAAAGAAACCACAAGCAACCACAGCAGCATCAGCAATAAATATTTAAAATACTTAAAGTAGAGCCAACTGAGCAAATGCAATAATGCGTAAGTGGTGCCGAAACCACAAGGATTTAGTCTGCCAAAAACTAATCTCTAAAACTAAATTCCAAATATATAGAACCCTCATCTCTTTCGCTGGCCGAGCGTCTGGCCTTCTTCAGCAATCTTTGCGAGAGCGGCGGCGGCGGCGGTGGAGGAGGCAGCGCCAGTGGAAGGTATCGCAGTCGCACCAGCAGCTACTCAAGGAGTCCACCCATCGAAAGGACGACGCCCAGGAGCAGCACCACCGCCAGCAGCACCAGTGTGACGCCCACGCCCATGGATTACTCACCCATACCGCATGAAAAGGAGTTATCTAGTCTGACGCTAGAGAGCATCATTGAACCGGAGGAGCAGGAGGAGCAGGTCACCAAGGACCAGGTGGACCTGGATGAGCAGGTTAAGCTAAGGAAAAAGGATACTCCGCCTCCTGTTCTAAGGGAATCGCCCCTGCACAATGGCTTTCATGTTCTGACCAGATCCGCCACCGATCCGCCGTCAAGCCAATCTTCTCTCCGCATTACAGTACGCACTCCTGGCAAGCTAATACTGCCTGATACTTTCAGAGGAGATAGGAATAATAATAGCGGTAGTGGCTCTAACAGCTGGAACTCCTGCCTGGTTAAATTGCAAACTCTAGAGCCTGTGAACCTCTCCGTTCAGCTGCGCACCATAGGCAAAGTGAAGTCCCCCTTTATAGAAAAGCAACAGGAAAAGCAGCTAGCAAATGGCACCACCAGCGATAGTGGTTCGGATTCGGGCAAGGAGAATTGCGCCTCCAATCAGCAGATAAATCATCAGGAAAGTAATCAGAATCCCCAGGAGGAAGAGAATCGTGCTCCACCCAGAGTATCCGAGATGAGGAGGAAGATCAGTCGATTGGTGCAGCAACAGCAGGTGCAACCACAACCCGTCAATCGGCGACACACCACCGAGATCACCTCGGTGACCATAGGAGCACCACGTTCGCCCAACGTAGACGATCGCTTTGCCAAGTATTTCGGGGTAAAAGAAAGCTTCAATAGCACCACCACCCTAATGAAAACTCAATCGCTGCCCAGCCAACAAGTAGAAGCCACCAATGCGCATGTTAGAATACCACCCATAACCACAGTGGTTTCCAAGCGACGAGAGCTGCTCAAAAGGACGCGTCCCTTGTCCATGGATCACTATTCGAGTGGCTGCACCAGTCCCACGGCGATGCCAAGTCCGAAGAGAGCACATTCACCGGTGAATCGACGAAAGGCCACCATTTCCAGCTACGAAGATATTGAGGTCACACCCGATGAACTCCGTGCGGCTGGCAAGGAATTTAAGCTGTTGTACGGCGAGTTATTGGGCTGAAAAATTTGATATTTTGGCCAAGCATTCAAAATTTCCCAATTTTTCAAAACAAAAACCGAAACCCAAACCCCCTTTCATTTTCGAAACCCCCAGAAATTATGCTCTCTTCGTGTGGGTCCTGCGCTCAGTGTGATAGATGCGCCCGATCCCAATCCTGTCCACCTGTAGTAGTCTCGTAGTAATCCATAAAAATAAAAACAAAAAGAACGAAACGAAATGAAAACTCCATACAGAAATGTCAAACAAACGAAAAAAAAACGAAGTAATAAAAAGAAAAACAAACTATAAATGTTAGGCATTGTATTTAAAAACCAAGAGACAGTTTTATTCCCAACCGGCTCGTATATTATATGTCTAGCCAGCGAAAAAACCTTCCAGTTAACCCATATATCCTATATATTACTATGCGAAACTGCTTTTGTGCTTATTTATACATAAATCACTACTTTTTATTTACATTTAAAAACGAATTGTACCTTAAACGGAATTATATTATGATGAGTATGTATTACATTTATTATTATTATTGTAATATTTAATTAATGGAAGTTGTTAAACCAAGAAAATAAATCCAAGAAATGTGCTAAAGAAACGTTAATCCAAGGGGATATTTATGAAGCTACGTAAGTACGTCGTGTTTAAGCATGTTTGTGGTTTGGAGCCCTTCTCTGCGCTTCTCAAATTTTGCAACTAAGCATGTTGAGTATGATTTTTGCCTGCCTTTTTAATGGATTGATTTGCTGCCTATTATTTGAAAAACATTATTTAGTCCCTTGAATGTATATTAATTTTATGAATCTATTTTGTTTTATAGGAAAACCCACTAGCGAACCACTTAAGAGCATTCTTAAGACGGGAAAACCTATGCTGGGCATGGGACGCGGTCTAATGCCCGTGGATCTCAATGCCGAGCTGAAGAATCGCCTCAAACGCTCCACTCATGCTACTGTTTCCAATCTTCGCAAATCTGCCACCACGGAAGATGCCACTAGAGGCGGAACTAGTGATGAGGTGGACAATCCGCAAAGGAATTTAGCCCAGATATTGAGAAATGTCTCCAAGGAGAACTCCACGCCGAAGCACGATGATGCCGTAAATCTTGTGAGGAATCTCTCCACCCTGGGACAACCTCGTGCGGTGGCCAGTGAAGATACAGCCGGCAATTGTGCCTCGGCATCGGAGGGCGAGAGTTCGGGGGGTCGCGAGATCGAGGCTATTATCAAGAATAGTGCTGTGGCCAGACGTCGCCGGCAGCAGCAGCAACAGCAATCGCAGCAGCAGCAGCAACATCAGCCAGATGGGTGAGTCCTGGTCCTGGTCGTCCTTCGTGCTCCCGTGCTCCGTGTGTTAGTGCACTAATCCCTAGCTACTAACAACCAAAAGATCCCCGAGAGATTCGCTACCCATCATGGTTTTATACTCGTATATACATAACGTTTAGACAGCGCCATACATGCATCAAATGTGTGTGCTTCTCAAGACTGGTTCCCAAAAAAGTAAAACTAAATATTTACAATTAATGCAAAAAAAGTTGAGACGAAGATTTACATTAGTTATAAAGTTCACAATGTTTTTTGTATCGAACATTTTGTAAATGTCTACGAATTCTCTTCACATCTTGTGTGTTTGTTTGCCGAAAAAAAAAGACTTTTGCTTTTCGATTAAAACAATTAAACAAAATTCTCCGCACTCGAACGCAAAAGATTCCTAAGAAGAGTGCAACCCGTGGCAAGGAGCTATTACTGCCCACTTGGCCAGAGGCCACAGCAACCGCAGTCGCAGCAGCAACACCAGCAGCATCCAAAATTGTTGGCACAGCAGCAACATCTGCAAATATTGCAAGTACAGCAGCAACAAATGCAAATATTACAGGTACAACAGCAACAATTGCAGCTACAACAGCAACAATTGCTGGTACAGCAGCAACAGCAACATCCATTGCAACCGAAACCCTTTTACAAGCTTCTTCGACCGATAGATTTTGTAAAAAACTAGTAATTAAGTTTAAAAATTGCATTGCTTACTACTGTTTGTGCAAAAAAACTAATTAACTGATATATACACTTGAAAACAAAAACAAAACAATATATTTTATCGACAACTTGTTTAAACGATATATTATGCCACAATATATTTTTACGTGATGCCAAAAAGCTGATAAAAAACTATAAAAAAACGAGTAAATAAAAAGAAACATTAATAAAGTTGACGGAAATCCTATTTAACTGTAGTTTTGTTTGGCCACTAACTGTTGTTCCTTACTAACTGTATGTTTAATAACAGCATGGATCTAAATATATTTTACCAATATTTCCCCGCTGAACGTTGAATTTAAAATAAGTTGTTTTGTGATTTTTTGGCGCCAAAAATTTAAATTTAAAGGCTACCATATCTGTGGGGGGTTTAAGAGTGATGCCACCAAGTTTGAAATATATTCTTATGGTGAATAGGTGAACAGCTGATGAACAGGTGATGATACTATCGATAGAGAGCCGCTCGGTGGCACCACCGATGTTTTTTAACTATCACGATACTATCGGCCAGTATCTAAAGTTTTTTTGAACCTTGAGTATAAAATGAAAGTGTAATTTATACTTAAAATTATTATTATTAACAAAAGAAAACCTAAAGACTTATTTTTTAAAAACTTATGAATGTCTAAGGGAGTACCCTCAATATTTCCACTATCGATGTTTTTGCAGCTCTAATATAAATAACATTTAAAGATATTAATTTCCACTAAAACAAATGTATTTGTTATCTTACCATTTCGTTTAAAAAATGGATAAATTATTAATTGGTATGGGAATACTATCGTGATAGTAATCGATAGTTCTATCGTTTATCTTGCATCTCTACTATATAAGCAACCCCCGCAATTTGTTGTCGGTTTAGTTTAAAACAAAACTCCAGCTGTTCGGTCGCAAGTACGGAATTCTCACGGTCTCACGGTGGTTTTGTTTATAAAACATATTAATACAATGATGGATATTAATGGATTCTAGTGGCGCACAATACTCGAATATACACATATTTTTTTAATAAATATACAACCAGTTTACAAGGTTCTAAGTGCGACTTTGTGTTTTTTATGACTTTGTTTACATTTTGCAATCGCGCGCTCTTTTTGCCGGTTGTAAAAATTATGCTAATTTTGCGGTCAATTCGTCATTGTTCCAAGGCAAAACGAAGATCTTAGCACATTCGGTTCGTAATTAAAACAATTGCTGGCAATTGAAAGTGCAAGTGCAAATTGCGACGGAACAGAAACAGCGGCTTTTATTGCTCTCTTTAAAAGGTTTGTACAAATTATAGAGGTTTTTCATCATAAAAACCAGATGGAAGTTGAAGTTCCTTTAGTTTTGTTGTTTTCGCCAAGGGTTCCATCTGCCTGTTTCCGTCTCGCTCCAACTCTTGCTCTCCTTGTCTTACCTGCCGGCAAACAGCCGAAAAAACTGTAAAATGGTTGTTTTGTTTCCATTCAAACATTTTGCTGATTCACCGAAAACTCTGCAGACTGCGGTGCACTGAGAAAAATGGGTTGGGGCTCAAATATTTTAATAAATACATGGCAGTTTCTTGTGGATTTATAAGGTTTTTCCAGTTTCCGTTTAAAAATCATCTTAAAAACTTAAGTAATATGAAATGATGATAAGGGATTTAATCAGTAGGTTGGTTAAAAAAATTGATTTTATAAAATCACAATAAAAATTTGAAATATTTTCAATGGAAAAATTTTATGGTGGTTTCTAACGAAAATTAAAATCCTTATCAGCTTACCATGAAAAATATTTTAAATATTGGATTAAAATATGGTCATTTTATTTATGTTAATTATTTTTAGTTTTTCTAAAACAAAATATATAGTCCTGATTTCTATAGATGTAAAAAAACAATAAAAATTAATACATTTTTATAATCGAACTTTGAATTTATTCAAGTGTATTACCCAGAGTCGCAGATTTTTGTTGAAACGTTGTTGTTGGTTATTTTTTGCTATACTTCTTGTCCAGGCATTGTTGTTGTTTTCGTGTTTGCTTGCACTTGGACTCTCAATCTCAAATTGAATCCCTATTGTATTTGTATTTCTCTCTCTGTCGCTCTGTATGAAAAAGGTTTGCAGCCGAATTTTTTGTTTTGGTTTCATTTTTCCAGTTTTTAAAAGTCTGCGACTCGCTTGAGCAATTTTAGCCAAATTTTGTTGATTTAGTCGATTTTAATTATCAAGTGTTTAATGTCTATTGTCTTTAGGTTCAAGGTCCCCAATTCAGGCCAGCATTTGCATAAATGAGTATCCAAAAAGCATGCACGTTCAAAAATTAAATCAATCAAAATCAAAAGAGTTTAATTTTAACCTCCAGGCAAATTATTTTTCCAATTATTATATTGGTTTATTCAAACATTTTTCTGATTTCAAATTGTATTGCATAATTCGACTCCCCCTCGAAACAGGTAATCCAAAAAATCACGGCTAATGAATAATCAAATGCGGAGCGAATCAAATGTTTAAGGTGTTTCGGAGAATGCCTTTCGTTTTCAATGAATTTGCATAATTTGTGGTTTTATTTGTTTTTATTTTTTCTTTTTTCGCTTTTTGGCCCGAAGCGAATTTCTTTTGGCGGTGCCATTTGAAATGAAAACGAAATTAGTTTGCAATTTGTTTTATTTTTATTTTTACAATTTTAATGCGAAGCGTGTCTGCCCAGAAAGCCAATTAAATAATAGTTAATCGACATGGAAAATAATGCAGTCAATGATTTTCCAGAGAAACTGATTAGTCTCATATTTCAGCAGTTTTGATTATTCAACTTGCAATTGCTACTGTTGTTTACTTAAATATGAAAGCAACGAAATTAATACCTATTGGATTTCCAATTTGTTAAAAAATAATTCATGCACTTTTATTATAAACCTTATCAACTTTGTTTAAATATTCATTAAGGCACCTTTTTCCCTGTTTACCTTAAATTTAAGTAGTGTAAACGAGGCGATAAAAATACTTAGAATATTATTTGAGTACCTATAGGTTTATTTACTTGGAAAATATATTTCTATTGAGTTTACCCAGATAAGAAGTGGCTTCTTTCGATTTCCGTTTTAATGGCAACCTGGCTCATTTGTAAACAAAACAAACGATTGGCCATAAATAGACAGTCGAGTGCCTGCTTATCGCTACGGATT